ATGCAGATGCTTTCTGTATGGATAATGCCCTCACTGGCCCCTCCACTTTCTCAATGTTGGATTCTAGCTATAGTGTGAGAGGAGGTATGTTTTGGAAGTTATCATTTTCTAAAATGGAAAATGTATTTCCAATAATACTTACCTCCCATAACACTCTCCCACCCTTCCTCCACATTAAGAGCCAGTGTTAGAGACTGTGGATTAAGTCAATCTCAAAAAAGTGATAACATTATCTGAATGAGGTGTTTATCTACAGTACCAGGATAGAGGTAGCATTGACATAGGTGGAGGGTGTGACGAGAACAGTATCGCCAAGGGCAATTAAGTGGGGTAAAAAAGACAAGCAAGCGAGAAAAACACACCAATGCTTAGATAGGCATAGGAAGAAACCCTGGCAGTTAAGTAATGTGAGCGGAAGTAAGTATTATTGGAAATACATTTTCGATGTAACCCTTTGGAAAAAGGTCACGGGTGAAAGGCCATGTCATCTCGTTTGTTGACTTGCATTCAAAATATATTTGAACTACTGGTTCTTGAACTTATGTCAATAAGTTTGGTATCAAACTACAGATTATAATTCAAATTTTAGTACTATATATTACTTAATTTCTTAATTGAAAAGTAAATAAAAAAAAACACAGATATACATCAATTTTTGTGTGTCACGTGGTATGTTGAATGTAGCACTGGTTCAAATTAGATGTTTGTGAAGTCAAAATACTAAGTCTATAGTTTTGTAGGAATTAGAAACTCAAATTACCAGTATTGAAAAGCTAGAATATAAAATAAGAATGTCTTATCTTTTCTATTTGCTAAGATATTGCTCATGTAATAAATCAAACATAGTGGCACCCTGCTCACCTCTTTCCATTTTTGGAAATGCTTCCTTATATACACTTACTTCTACATATGACATGAATAACCAATCGGAAGTCAGAATGTCCCCCCAGTGGCTTTCTCAGCCATTCTATTGGGCATGGATGCCATTTCTTTCTTTTGAACCAATATTTCAAAGAGTTAGGGTGTGTTTTTAGTCTGCTCAAAATTTCATATTTTTTTAGACTAAAATACATCTTAGTTATTAAGCTTTATAAATTATAGTGGAATTCTATGGTATTGATGTAGTAATTAACGTTTTTTTAATTATTGAAATGTATATACAAAACCTAAAAATTGTTTCATTTCCTCCATGTGCAAAAGGCTTAGCAACTTACGTGAAGCAGCAACCCGAGTACAAAGGTTGTAACTAGAAGAGATAATTATTTGCTTTACTTTTTTATTTACAGTTCTATGTTTTAAGAAAAATAAGTTTAAGAACTTATTTCAAACTAACAATAATTTATATACATA